TTTTTTCAAAGTTCTATTTTCAAACATTAAATAACTATGCGATGAGCATCTTTCCTATAGTATCTTATTCCATGGAGAGGCGTAGACGTGTCTGTCTTTGGGAAGGGATGGGGGGCAATAACTGAGCTCAAAATGAGTTGGATGTGTGCTTTTCTATTGTGGTAAAAGATACACACAGTTAACCAGATACATCACTTTTCAGGGTAGGGTTCAGTGGTATCAAGTTCATCTACACTGGTACACAACCATCACCAACATCATTCTCCAGTCTGATGTTTAAAAATGGCTTGGGTACTTGCCACAGTTAGGGGCTGAGTTAAACAGAGAAATTGTATTTTAGCTTGGACTTCTACAACAAATCCCACAGGCTCTGTGGCTTAACCAGTAGGAATTTATTTCTCATAGTTCTGGAGGGTAAGGAACCCAAGGTCAAGGTGCAGGCAAGGTCACTTCCTTCCTGAAGCCTCTTCTATTGGCTTGTAGGTGACTGGCATCGGGTGTGCTTGCAGGATCTCTTTGGTGTGTGTGCTTACGAAGAGACAGATCTCTCTGGTGTCTCTTCTTAGAGCACCAATCCCATCACATTAGGACCCCACCTGCCTTCATGGCCGCAGCTAACCCTAATTACTTTCTTCCAGCTTCATTTCTAAATATCATCATAACCTGTGAATTTGGGGGGCACAGAAACGTGCAGTCTATACCTGATTTACTTGATGATTATGAAGGGTTCATAAGAAACAGGACCAATAGGGGCCAAAGGGTACAGAGTAAAAGTATTCTTCCTTTCTACTGTAACTGCCCCAGCTACCTAAGGACAATTATTATTCCCAGCTTTTGGAGTGTTCTTTGATGTGTGTGTGTGTGAACACATGGACACGCAGAGGCATTCATGAAAAACTTTTACACAAGTAGCAATCTACCCAAATAGTGGATCTATTCACACCATTCTGCACTTGGTTTCACTTGCTAAGTACTGGAACTCATTTCATATCAATACACAGAGCTGCTTCATTTTCTAAAGCAGCTTTATCACACTGCATTGTATGTTTAAACCAGAATTTATTTTATTGGCCCCTTTTCTTTGTCGTTTGTTTTTACCAGGTATCATTTCCTTCTGTGAAAGATGAAGGATTTTATTGCATGTCTTGCTGTGCCTTCAGGAATTAGTAATAGTACCAGATACATAGTAGGCCTTCAACAATATTTGTTCTGTGAAATGTTGATTGACTACATTTTACACCTGAGCAGGATGAATTGCTGGGACAAGGTGTATGTATGTGTAGTTGTAATTGTGTTACCTCTTGCCATTTGCTCTCTAAAGCACTTATGTCAATTTGTTTTTTGCTGCCAGGGTTGAAATGTACCTGTTTTTCTACACGCGTGGTAGTGCCTGCATTAACCCTCGTCATATCTGCCATACAGGGTGCTGCTGAATTTTATTTACTTATCTGCTGTGTGGGAAATGAATCTTGGTTTTTGTTGTTGCTGTTTTAGTATTTTTTGTTATCATGAGTGACACTACAAATGTGGTTCTTTTTTCTATAAATCATGTGCCCTGCTCCTAGCCAAAGCCAACCAAGTACCCCTTTGTCTGTGATTTGTACTGACGAGTTCTCTCTTCTTCCACCGCCATCTCAGTATGTCAGATGCCATTCGTTATATTATAGTTTCCGTTTACAACTTATATTTTTAAATACTTTTGAATTTTGATATAGCTGAATTTCTCAATTACTTTTGTTGTGGTCTCAGTATTTTCTTTTAGGGCTACTTGGTTTTTAGCTAAAGGTTGGTCATAGTTACAAATACTTTCCTGATTTCAGGATCATTTAAAATTTTTCCTTATGGGTTCCTCAGTATTTTTTCCAGTTTTTTAATCTTAAGCCTGTGCCCACCTTAAGTTTATTTTGGTGCTGGGTGTGTGGTGTTAGATGGTTCTGGTGATAGTTTGGTGTTAGGTGTGAGAGATCTCTGGCTGACTATGGATACTATTTGGTAAATGGCGTGTTTTCTTCTTCACCGATCGGCTCTGTTATCTTCATCACTTATGAAGAATTTGGGGGTTTATGTTACGTATGGACTCCCTCATATTTTTCCACGGGTCCTGGTATCTGTTCAGTCATGAATGCCACATTGCTGTGATCACTGCCACTGCAGGGTACTTCTTTCAGTGCGGTTTTATTTGTTCCCCTTTTCATTTTTTTCATTAATGCCCCGATTATCATTGCATATTCACTTTTCTGTGTGTATTTGAGGATACATTTTTCTAATGTTTTAAAAACCCTGTTTGTAGCAATTATTGCAGTTATTATAGATTAGTTTAGGGACGTTTGAAACCTTTATAGTGAATAGTAGTCAAGAACATACTATTTCTTCCTTTTATAAAAAATCTTGATCACTCTCACATTAAATTTTAGCATCGAGCATATTTAAAGCTAGCATATTTTTAGTACATTTATTTTTAGGCATTTATCCTTTTGTTATTGTTAAATAAAAAATTTTTCTACTGTATTTACTCATTTATGGTTTTATAGAAAACACTTATTTACATATTTTTTACCTAATTAATTTTTAAATTTATAATAGTTTCAAAGTGGATTATTTTATGTTTTATAGGCATACAATCATCATTTACAAATAATAATGAGATTACTTCCTTCTTTCCAAGTTTTATGCTTTTTACTTTCTATGTAATTGATTTAGTTAGTGCCCCTATGTAAAAATTAAATAATGACAGTGACACATCCTTAATTTATTCTGTCTTTTGTGAGTTTTACTAATATTTCTCCATTAGGTATGATATTGGCATATAGTTGCATGTAGACTATATTCATCTTCATCTATTTCTATCTCATCTATTTCTATCTCATTTCCCTTTTTGGTGGGGTCAAGAATCAATAGTGAATATTATCAGATGCCTTCTATGCATTTTTGAATAAGTTCCTATGATTTTTCACTGATGAACTGTAGTTAAGAACAAATATATATATATATACATATACATGTATACATACATACACACACATATATATATATTTGGGAGGGATAGGGTCTCACTAGGTAGTCTAGGCTGGCCTTGAATTCATTATGTAGCCCAGCCTGGCTTAGAACTCATGGAGATCCTCCTGCTTCAACCTCCCAAGTTCTGGGATTTCAGGCATGCAACATCATGCCTGGCTAAGATCAAATATAATAACCATTTTTCTAATATGAAATTTTTTAATGATTTCTGATTATAATTCCTATTATTAGGACCTTGGACTGCAGTTTTTAGTATGCCATTATATTCTACTACTTTATGTAACATTTTCACTTCAATATTTACAAATTAAATTTATCTGTCTTAGTGATGTTTAGTTCTCAAATGTTCAGCTTTATAAAAAGGGATAGAAGCTTTACTTTTTTTTGTCTTGAACAATTAAAATAGAATTGGAATTAAACCTTAAAGTTTTAGCAGTTATACTGTGATGTTATCTGGGGTACTTTATGAAGGACAGCATGGATTATTTATTAACTGCTTCTGTGTTTTCTAGTATAATTGCTATGTTTTGATTTTTTTCAGACAGAGCGAGCTTGTAAAATTGAATCCCGTCACTTCAGCTTTAGAGACTTTTACTTGCTCATATCCTCAGGCCCAAAAGCTGTGGGTAGTTAGAGCTCCTTTCCTGTTTCACTAAGCTTGCCTGGTCCGACTTCCTTGCCCCTGGCTCTCACCAACCTGCTTGTACATGGCCGCCTGCTTTGTTTGCTGGTCTCCCTCTACTGGAGTCATAATTGTCATTCATACTTTTCTATTAAGATATTCCATCAACCTTTCAAATATATTTGCATGATGTTGACCAAAGTGAGGTGCAGGAGTCTCCTCTTATACATGAAAGGTGAATTCCAAAACTTTTAGTGCATGAATTTATTTTTCCTTCTTCACAACCTCACAGAAGCTTCAATAGCTTCTTACTGTAGATCTTAGCAACCTCAGCAGACCACACTTTTTCTTTTAAGTCAAGAACTTTCACCTTTTTGCTTAAATAAAGCACTTATTATTTTCTATTTGGCATATCCAAATTGTCAACCTCACTACTTTTGGACTATAATCAAAAGAAACAAAGATTTCTTGAACTTAAGTTTTGTGGTGTTGCAGCTATGGATCTAGTGATGAAGGCAGCTCAGAGTAACTACGGCAAGGTAACATGTAGACACTGGACAAAGAGACCATTCATGTCTCAAGTGGAGCAGAGTGGGATGGCATGAGATTTCATCAATCTACTCAGCATTAAAACGCAGGAATTGTTTATTCCTAGAGTTTCCCACTTTAGTATTTTCCAACTGTAGTTGACCGTGATTGACCTCAGGTAACTAAAAACATGGAAAGTGCTTAGATAAGGAAGGAATACTATAGTTTCTTTTTTATTTTCTCTGCATTTGTGTTCATACATTTAATTTCTTATTTTATATATTTAAGTCTACTTACTTCTAATTAGAGTAGGTAACTTATAATTTAACTTTACTTTATTATTTAAGGAACCACCTCTTGAAAGTATCTATTAGTTTCACCTCTTACTCTTTTATTGTTTTTCTACTTCTTCTCCCTGACTTTGTTAATTCCTTATTTCTGCTTTCTTTAAATTGATTTTGTTGTTATTTTTCTTAGCTAGTGTATTCAGTTTTATTCTTCCTGTTTTATCAGTGTGAGGAGGAAGGCTGTGGCTTTTCCTCTGAGCACTGCTTACATTATAACTCACGGGTTTTGATTGCAAGTGTTTCCACTGTTATTTCTTCTATGACCAAATTTTTAATTTTGGTGACTCTTAGATCCAAGAACTATTTAGAAAAAATCTAAGTGTCAAAGGATTATGATGTACATTTCAGTAAAACAGACAGCATTGTTGCCTAGCCTCATGTCTCGTATTTGTTTTCTATGTTGTCTAATGCAGTAGTTCATCACAAACTGACTTAAAACAGTAGTCACAAATAAAACAAACAAATAAAAAAACCAAAAGCAGTAGTCATTATGTCACAGTTTTTGTGGGCCAGGATTCCAGAGTGCCCTGCTCAGGGTCTCATCACTTTGTCAGCTGGGCGGAGATTGTATGTTAAAGACAATTGACAATATGGCTGTTTCTTCTTCCAGGTCAAAGAGAGGGATCTCACTGACCTCAAGACGGAACCAGCCAAGTCCACACAGGATAACTTCCCTCTTAGTAACAGAATGAATTGACTTGGACCTTCATGACTTCAGCAGAACTCCTTCACTTTTGGTTATGGTATAACCTAATTGAACATAAGCATAGCGTTACCGATCATTAGATTATTGTATAACCTCGTCAAACATAAACATAAACCCATCGCCTTTTTATATTCTATTGGTGAGAAGTGGTCTCGGGCTCCACTCCTGCTCAAGAGGAAGGCATTATACAGCAGCATAACTCATTAGAAGCTGCTTCGGGTGTGTCCACCCCATGCCTCTTGGCTTTTCTCTGAGTTCTCCTGTGGCTGTGGAGGGCAGCTGTGCATGTTGGCATCTTTCCATTGCTGGTATCTGCTGCGGTTTCTCTCTTCTGCTGAGGCTCTCCCACAAACAGTGTTTCCCGGCAGCTATCAATGCATAAGACCGAAGTCAGTGGATAAATACCCGAGCTCCCTCCCTTCCACGGGAAAGTCCTGAGGTGCATTCTTTATGGTTCCTCAGAGGCTCCCCAACAAAATTGAAATAGAGTGGCAACTTCCTCTTTTCCCACTCTCTTTTTTGAGTTTTCTTTCCTCCTTGCCTTACTTTCTCCACTTCATCACATTTGTCTATTTGCCTCCCAAACAAGCTACTTGCTCCTAGATTCTTATCTCAGGTTCTGCTTTTCAGGAAACCCTAACTAAAACATGTGGCTTCATACTGTTTTCTATTTTATTATGTTCCCTTTTATTGTGCAATGATCTGAGGATGTGCTACTTCAACACATCTTGGAATCTGATCAGGACTTCCTTACGGGCTATTCTATGATAGTTTTGTGAATACTTCAACTATTTTCTGTTTCCAGAGTATGGAATTTGACACATAGAAATTTTGCTTGCCTAGTTTCTTACTAAGTTATTGTTATTTTATCCATGTCCTTAGTAATTTTTAAGGGGAGGGATGTTTAGTATGTCTGGATCTGAGATGATAAAGTCTTCTTTTACTAATGTAATTTTTCTCTTATTTCTGGTAGTTTTGGCTTTATGATTTTTAGGCACTCTTATTTGAAGTATAGTTATTAATTACTGAAAGAGCTCATGGTGAAATCATTCTTTGTAAATATCAAATTGGTTTCATTGTTTTGTTTAAAACTTTTGTCCTGTATTCAGATTTGATTGATGTTAAAATTATTCTGTTTGTATTGCTTAATAGCTTTGTCCCATCTTTATTATTGATTATTCTTAATCACTTTAATTTAGATATGTAAGTAAGTATTTCTCTTTGCTCCAACCTGAGGGTCTTTTTCTTTAAATAGATTTTTACTCTATTTAACTTAGTTATAAGAGGTGCATATTTGGTTTTAGTTTATCATATAATTCATTTAAAAAAAATTTTTTTTCTTCATTTGGTTAATTGGATGATTAGAGTAAAATATTTTCCATCCCCACACTATTTTTAAATACTAACCCAGATAATGCTCAAAACCTCCATTATACCTGAACCATGGAGTACTTATAATTTTAGTCTATCATGTACATAATAACTATGGTGGAGCAAACATATATGTACATTCATAGGCATGCATATGTAGCCCATGTATATTAAACAGATTTTAAAGAAGATTTGTATTGATTTGATTCATTTTCTAAAATTTAGCTCCTACTTCTCTTCTTTAGTTTTAAAGAAAGGGCCACATTTCACACAGTGCAACTTTTTACAAATGAGCAATATTGTGGAATGTAAACAAGTCTTCTACAGATTTTTCCATAGACCTAACATAGGGGTTTGCTGCCAACACAATACCTTGCATTAACTGATAGATTTGATTCAGGCATGCACGATGATCTCAAATTAATTACTGAGCTCCTCTAACAGTGGTTGCTATGGCAACCACTTCATAAGTGAAAGGACAGGAGCCCATTAAATTGTACTTGTCATATTCTAATCAATTGATAATCAAAAAGTATAAAAACTAAAAAGGTGGGAAGAAATTAATAGAAAAGCTTTCTTCTCTTAAAATTTTTCTTGTTCTAAAAAATTTTTCATGTGTTTATATATAAAGGATATTTTCTTTCTAATCATTTGAATTTATTTATTTGTTATTTTTATTCTAGTACTTTTCACAATTAATAATTTACTTTATACAGTTGGCCCTCTATACCCATGAATTCAATCCAAGGTATTTTTAAAAATTGCACTTGTACTGAACTTGTATAGATTATCGTTTTGGTCATTATTTCCTAAATGGTATAACAACTCTTTACATAACATTTATACTGCATTAGGTATTATACACAGTCTGAAGATTATTTAAAATAAATGAGAGAATGTGTGCAGACAATATACAAAGAGTGCATCATTTTACCTGAGGACGTGAGCATCTGTAGATTTTGGTACACGTGTGGGTCCTGGAGCAAAACCCCCGCAAATTCTGAGGGATGGCTGGGTATTTAATCCATTTCCTCAGATGTGACTCCTGTTATAATAGTGACAAGGAATAGATTTCACTTCATCTTATCTCTGTTTCATTTCTTTCAACATCTCATTTTAGATGGTTGTAATATTTTTCTTTGTTTTTTAACTAGTTACCATAAATTTTTAAATACACTACTTGTTCAAATGTCATAATAGGGGCTGGGGATTTAGCTCAGCGGCAAAGTGCCTGCCCGGCAAGCGCAAGGTCGTGAGTTCGGTTCCTGGTACCAGAGAAAAACAAAAAAAAAAAAAAAAAAAAAACAACAAATGTCATAATCTTTTGTATCAGCTATAATTGATATCTTTCCTGCCGGCTATGAAAGATAAGAAAATGAAGCACATTTGCAGTATCCTCAATGGTTTCTCCTTCCCATGACAGAGTGGTTAATTTTTAATTCTCACATTGTGAAAGATTACAACATCTTAAATCTACTGTATAACCACAACCATTCTATTTGTTTGTGTAAGTTCTTCAGCCTAATAGCTTTGGTTTTCAATACTTCTCTCCTTTTTCATGATTTCTTTTTTTTTTTTTAGTGAACTGAAATTTATTCTTTGGTAATTTTTCCAAGATAAACCAAATGATATTTATATTCCTTGAACCTTTGCATATTCAAGCAATGATTTCCTGCAGCATTTACATCTGTGGTTGGTTGGGTATATGATTTATAAAACATTTCTTACGTGCATGAAGATTTTATGGACATGGCTTTTCTGTCTTTGAATGTGAAATATTTCTGTGGGAAAGTGTATAGGTAGCATACATTTATTCTCCTTTATAAACTTCTTAATATTTGTTTTTGGATAACCTAGTGCTGTTTTCCCCCTAAAATATAAGGGCTATATTTAGTATGTAAAGTTAAGTCATGTCTTTCTGAAATATTTTGTTGAATTATATTTTTTAACGCTTTTTTTCCTACTTTGATTGTTTTGTACTCATCACATTTTTTATAGTACTGAGGATTAAACCAAAGGCCTCCTGCCAGGCAAGTACTCTACCAGTGAGTTTCATTTTCAGCTCTTTAAAAGTTTTTGTTGTGAGACAGTCTCCCTCAGTTGCCTTGGCTGGCCTGGAATTTGTGATCTTCCTTCCCCCAGTTTCCAAAGCAGTTGGGTTTACAGGCATATGCCACCACGACTTGCTAAGGACACCAATTTTAATTTGTCCATTAGAGGTAATTTTGTTTGCTTTCCTCAACCTGATCTTTCATGTTTGATACTGTGATTTCTCCAGCATAGTGCCTTCAGTTGGGAATTTATTCTTTTTCTGAGTCTTACTTCATCTATCTCTGTATTTCCAATACCTCATCACACATTTCCTGAATTTGTACTCTGGTATTGGCTGTGTAATAGATTTGTAATGTAACTGACTTAATGTATATGAGATATTTCAATGTGACCTTTGTCTGTCTAGTTGTAATATTTTTCTGGTGAGTATTTTGGCTCTTTTTGTATTTCCACTCTATTTCTTTTTCCTATACTAGTTATTGTTGATTCCAGACTAATTTTTTCCATATTGTATATTTTTGATTATGTTCTCAGCAGGTGTTTTCACGTTTGTGTAGTGGCTGTGCACGGAGTACAGATCTGGGAATGAGGCTACATCTCAGCAGGAAAACTCTCCGGTGAAGCTCCCGGGATGCACAAGTGTGCTTGCTACGTGCTCATGTGTTTAAGGCATTTTAAGCTTTACTTACCTGTTCTTAGAAATATGGACACCATTGAGTCTCTTTTCCTCACCGTACCTTACCCACCATTGCCTCCTGAGCAGTTGGCATGTGCATATGTGTGTGTGTGTGTGTGTGTGTTTTCATTTAACTTCCTTTCTTCTGCTGTTCCTTGGTGCCACGAGGGGTCCAGGAAAGCTACCACTGCCCGTTTCCTTAATCGTCCCATTTCTTCCATCAAGTGACTTTTGGGTTTTCCCTTTCCTTTTGTTTGCCACTTACCTTGAAGAGCTATGTGTTTTAAACGTTTCTAGAATGCCAGCATTGCTTCCCCGTATTTTCCCACATTCTTGTGTGATTTTCACTGCATGTTACAGCTGTTGCTCAAATCTCGAGGTTTGTAATTAAAGATGAGTTAAGAACGGTGAAGATTCTGAGGTTCTGGCCCACTTACAAACTAACAAGTTACTCTGCCTCTATTTTATGGCTGTTGGCAGAAGACAAAAGGTTCATGGGTCAGAGATCCAGACAGAGCAGGCAGAATAAGCAGGATGTTCACATCAATGCCCTTGGTGCCCCGAGTCCCACTCGGGTGCCGTGGAGAGTCCCGGGTGGATGCTGGGCTTGCTCTGGGTCTGGTGACCAACCACGAGTTTAGGGAACCCAGACCTTTGATGCTGGGTAGTAAGCACTGCTGCTGTTTGCTTCAGAAGGAGATGCCACGTCTAAACCCGAGAGTCCACAACAAGCATGGTGAGCACTTCTGCTTAGCAGACGTGCAGAAGTGAGAGAGCCGCAGACCACTGTCTCCAACAGTCTCGTCTCAGTTTTACTGAAGATGAAGTTTGAATGTTAAAATTATCTTCATTGATTACAGTAACTTCAAGAAAAAACATTACAACCAGGCGCGGTGATGATGCCTGTAATCTGAGCACTCGGGAAGCTGAGGCGGAAGGATTTCTGTGAGTTTGAAGCCAGTCTGGGCTACAAAATGAGTTCAAGGCTAGCGTGAACTGTATAGTGAGACCCTGTCTCAAAATGACAAAAAGAAATAAATAAAGAAAGAAAGATTACAGAAACAGCTTTAGTTTGGGATCTTAAAAGTGGAAGTGCGGGCTGGAGATGTAACTCATGATCAAGTTCTCTCCTGGTGTGTGCAAGGCCCTGAGTACAATTTCCAGCACCAAATTAAACAAACTCCAAAGCTGGAAGTGGACATGTTCTATATTCTTGGAAAATATGTATTGTATATATTTAAATACACATATTTAAAATACAATTTGAACCCTACAATTTTATAGCTTGTTTTTGACAGCATAACATGCTCATTTTCATGTATTTATTTTTCAGAATCAGGGTTTTTTGAAGTTCTGGCTTGTGAGTACATAGTTTTTATTAAATTCACTATTAGAAGATTTGGGTTTTTTTCCTAGTTTTTTGGTTTGTTTGTTATTATAAACCAATCTGTGATGTTCTCACTCTTACATAAATCCTTTGAACATATTTACCTTTTGTCATTTTAGAATGATTTTCTAGGAGTGTATTTGCCAGATCAAAGGATCTGAAATGCTTTAAGTCTTTCAATAATGCTGCTTGGTTGTTATTCTGAGAAGTTTAGAAGCTGCTCAAACCATTCACGTAGCTCTTTCTCTTCTTTCTCATCATCACCGGGTTGTAACACTGAAATCTCTGTGACTCACTCAGGGATAGAATTCTGTTACAGATTGTCACCTGTCATAATGCTGACAGTTCTGATCTGCTCCATGAACTCCATGTTCACTACTATGCCCCAGTATCTGGCATATGTGAAATACATGTGTATTGATGACTTGAATTTCTTCTTAGTGAAAATTCATATATGTCTCTTCAATTTTGTCTCTTGAGGGTATATGATATCATTTTCTCATCTATTTGTTAATTTTTTCTCATTTATTATTATTATTATTATTATTATTATTTTTTGTTTTTGTTTTTTGGTTTTTCTCCAGTACCAGGAACTGAACTCATGACCTTGCGCTTGCCAGGCAGGCGCTTTTTGCCGCTGAGCTAAATCCCCAGCCCCTCATTTATTATTGTGACATTAGTTTTTGACTATTTGAGGTATAGAGAAGCTTAATATTATTAGGCAGTCATATTTATGAATTTCTTTAAATATTTTTTTCTTTAATTTTGTGCTTAGTTCTCTTCTTTTTTTACTTTGAGATCAGACAAATACCATTTTTTTCTAGTTGTTTTTAGGTTTAATACACAAGCCTTTCACTTTTCTGATATTTATTTTAATGTTATATTTTATCATCAGAATGCTAAGTTTTTAACTATGTTTTTAGTTTGAATTTCTTTGTGATAACTGTGATAGAAGTGAAGAGGTCTACCCTCAGTTTTTTTCATTTTATGTATTTCTAAAAATCTATGACTAAACAATTCAGTTTTGGTACTAACAAAAATAAAGAACCAACAGTTTAGACAGTATTGCAAAGCTGATTAAATAGAACACCAAACTTTCTTTCCACTGAATACTTTGAACACAGGTTATATCTCAGAAATTACTATAAAAATTAATTTCAAAATCTGCTGTGAGATGGAATGAAAATGAAACAGGGCCTAAATTCACCCCAGTGATCCTTCCATGTGGTTTAGAGCAAATTAAGAATTTGTCTTGACAACTGAACAAAAACTAGGAAGCTAAGCAATGAGTATACTCAAAGAGCATCCTAGATTATGGCTTTAATCAGCATGTAGTCTTAGTTATAACATACATGAGATGCGACGTAAAATAAATGACCCTCTTTTGAACCACATACTGTAATCAAATGAGTCTTGTTCTGTTCAATGTAACCACTTATTTCCATAAAACTTCCATAGCTGAAAACATCTCTCAAAATTGTCTTGCAAAATTGCCTCCAGCGCCGGCAATACTTTCCTTTTGCTGTCCTCATTATGCTTTGTGGGACAATATAAGCTTTGGCAACAGTCTAAAGAAACTTGGATTAATGTCTGGGGAATATGTTTGCTGGGTACAGCTGATTAATAGAAAATGAAAATATAATGTATCACAACATCGTGTTCAACTTCAAGTACTGCAAAAATCCACTTATCACTCAAGTAAATGATTTTTCTGAAATATTAAAAAGCCCAAGATTACTGTTATGGGTTTCAGCTGCCCAGTGATATCAAAGAAGGCACTGCTGCCATTCTTCGGTTTTTCCCTCGTGACTACTGCCCCAGGGTCACAGGATGGCTGGTGTTCTCTCAAGCCACCCCTCCCATATATAAGGAAGAGCAGGTGAGAGCAAAGAAAATGGTTAGAATTTTCTCCATTGACTAGATAGTCAATGATTGCTCCAGTCATTCATCAGAATGGGGTCACCCTGCCATCCCATCACCCAGAGCACTGGGAAAGCAGAACTGTCATGACTAATTTAGCCAATCGTGATCCATAAATCCATAGGGACAGAACAATTGATTTCCCAAACAAACTGGTTTAAGGATGAAATAGGAATTAGATGAGCCACCAAACTGTGTGCTAAAGTATGAATGAGGCCACATGATTATGAAGACACCTGAGAGACATCGATTTATAGAAACTGACTCCCTAGGAAAAGAGACCTCTCCTGAGGAGGGAACACATTTCCATAGTAAGAACAGCAGTTTAGCCAAAGGTTAAATTACATGAACTTCTAGAATCTGTCAAATGCCAGAAAAAGAGAGAGAAGAAAAATATCTGCAAGAGAGATTGTTGTGCACTGTCTGAACATGGCTATTTTGACCCTGAAAAAATGCAAATGCATTTTTGTTCCCTTAGCACACACTCTGCAGTCCAGTAATAATGCATTGTAAACAGAGCATATTAAAACAAACAGTTCTCTCTAGATCTTTTTTCAATATTTTCTCTAAATAGTTATTTGGTAATACACATTTTTCTGTTTTGTAGAGTCCCTAAATAGCAGAGATCTTAGTTTGGAGGAGCCAGCTCATGCCTCCCAGTGCCAGAATGTTCGTGGAGTTTTCGTTTTACTAAATAAAGAACTGGAGCTAATGTCGACCCTGTGGTGGCACTGGGCCCTCGACCCAGTAGGAAAAATAAGGAACTCACAGTTCCCTTCCTTTCCTCAGGCCAGAGCTGGTCTTAGACTAAATGGCGCCGAAGGGCAATTGCATCCTCTGGTGTTCTGTTTCTTGCTTTCTAGTTATTTATCTTCAAAATGCCTGAATGGATGGACTTGGTCGCAACATTGGATACAAGCTTTTTAAAATCAGGTGACAAAGCATCCATGTACATCACATAGCTAACAGGTTTTTTTAAGGTTAGTTTTCCAATATAACCCATAGCTGAAAGACTAATATTGATGAAGCTGACCATTTTCTGATATGAATTGTTATCATCTCAAGTCAGATTGGCAGTTTTGGTGATCTCTTCTTCAGATTCATCCAGATAGTAGCTTCGCTGGCCTGGAATCCATAGCGTGTGTATTAACCTTCACTCCCTTTATCTCAAGAGTAAGATTCCCCCCACACTAATGGTTCAATAACTTTTGCATTTTGGGTCACAGATTCATTGTCTTGGAGGTGAAAGAGACTTTGGCAATTGATCACGGCATATTGATTTCCTCCAAGACAGACTCTGTGTCCGAATGCCATTTGATTACTTAGGATTCCTGCCACAGAGAGGGAATCTGATTTTCATCCAGGGTTTCAGGGGGATTGTATTGCCTAGTTGTGCCTCCAAGAGCCTCTCAAACACACCCTTTGCTGTTGGAAGTATCCATATTCCCCACACCCCTGCTAGAATGTGGACTCAGGAGAAAGACATTCAGTTCAAGTTCCTGCTGAACTGTCTGCTGGCTGTACTACTTGGGCACGCTGCTTGCCATCTCTGGTCTCAATTGTAAAATGAGAATCATAAAAGCACAAGAGGGTTGTGGTGAGGCTAGAAGGAACAAATAGACATAAACTACTTTAGCTCGTGCCTGGCTTATGGTGAACACTCTGTGCAAGCCTTAACAAGAGTTTGGCCCTCTCTGTAGTGCTTCTTCTCTCTCTCTGCCTCCTGTCCTGGTTAGAAACATGACTCCTGCCCACTACAGTGGGAGGGGTCATCTCAGGGGCAGGGGCTTTGTCTGTTTACCCTTTGGCATCTAAACCTCAGATGGAGCCTGGCTCATGAAATGTGTTTTGAGATGAACTAAAGCTCTCATTTTACCATCCTGAGCATCTTTGGCTACTTCCAGAGCAACAGGCCTCAGCACTCCTTTCTTTCACCACAAGTGAAGCTCTCAGACATAATCTGCTTCAAGATCTAACCAAGATTTGGATTCTCTAAATTCCTTCTGCAAAATTATTCTTCTCACCATAAAGCTGCTCCCTGCTCATTCCCTCTCCCCTCCTCCTCCTCCAGTCTTCCTGGGGCCTCAACCCATTAAGAAATTAAAAATTGACCAATTGTTCATCTCAGCCATCTGATAGATCTTTTTCCATTGTAATTAGGCTTTTAAATTTTTTAACTGGAGGCATGGCTAGTAGATGAAAGGGTTGTATAAGGGCTTTCAAGTTTGTTCTACCATACCATAAGGCAGTGCTATCATCCTCCTTTGTCTCTTTTCCATGGCTCCTCCAGACTTTGTCCCTACTTTGAAACTGACGTCATCCAGGAGCCCAAGACTCCTCAGGAGAATGCAGAAGACATTTGACCACTCTCCCTACCACACCCACAAGGGTTCATCATTTACTCTGTGATTATGTCCCAGGTCTTTGGCAATAACTGGTCTCTAGCTGTTACATCAGGTGGGGTGATGAAGGACCTAGCTAGTAGAGCAGAAAGGTAGGAATAAATTAGGTAGCAGTGCAGTGAGATGTGAAAAGTACTTACTGCTTGATGAAACGTTGAGAATCTAAGATGACCATTTTCTTTTCTGAATTTTCACTCCACTTTTATGAATTAGTGTGTGGAGGTCTCTGCATTCCCTAAGTCTGCCACAATAAACACCACATACTGGGTAGTATAAGCAACAGACATTTATCCTCTTGTAGTTCTGGATGTTGGATATTTGAAATCAAGACTTTTGCAGTGCCATATTCTCTCCAAGGCTCTAGGGTAGAATTGTTTCTATGACTTTCTCTTAATTTGGGGGGCCACCAACAATTCTTGGTGTTCCCTAGCTTGTAGATGCAACTCTCCAATCTCTGCTTCCATCCTGCTGTGTGTCATCAGATCATCTTATAACCACACCAGTCCTGTTAGATTAGAGCCTGCATTGCTCCGGTATGACACTACCATATCTAACTACACCCGCAATAACCTTCTTTCATTACCTTGGTACGTTACAAGGTATGGAGGGTTAGAATTCTGATGTAGCTCCTTTCAGGGCACACGGTTCAACCCATTATAGAGGGGAGATGCTCTCATGTCATTGTACAATGTAAGTTTTGATAGTAGTGTGAGCTGAGTTTTTGAATATGTAAAAAAAGACTGCTCTGTAAAATATTATAGGGCCTGGAAGAAATTGTCATTTGAGATGTGATGGAAGAGGTTTGAAGGTGTGGGTGGAAAAAGAAAATCAACTCATAAAACCACACTCAATCCAGGCCATTTAACAAAGTGGACGCAAATGTAGCCAAACTCCTGCTTCCATGGATAAAGAAACTAAGGCTGGAGAAGTATAA